TGGTCCCACCAGTTCTGGCTTGCAGGCAAATGGTATTTCTTGCAGATATTCCAATGCACCACTGTTGCTACTGTGTCATGCCATTGTCTGTAATCCTGTGATCTTCTTGCAGCAGCTAACTAGGTGGTCCACTGTTTCTTCAGCTTCTTTGCAGAGGCAGCATTTGCTGTCTGTTGCTGTCTTCTTGATTCTAGCTTTGTATGCATTTGTTCTTAAGGCTTGGCCTTGTGCAGCCAGAATTAGCCCCTCTGTCTATTTCTTCAACTTTCCTGCTCTTCGCCATTGCCAGGTGGTATTATTATTATTATTATTATTATTATTATTATTATTATTATTATTATTATTATTATTGTAACAGCAGACTTACTTCCTGTTCACCACTCTTGGGTGAGCTGGCCCTGCAGACATCTTCTGCTTCATCATGATACATATGTAACCATAGCAACCATTTCTCTTCCTTAGCAGTCTCCCACCCATAAGGCCAAGCGGCAACAGATGGACCTCATAGCTGAGTTGAAGAAGAAGCAGATGGTGAAGGAGCCTCTCATTTATGAGGAGAAAGATGGTGCCATTGAGGACATTATTTCAGGTGAGAACGGAGGCTGACAACTTTATCAAAAGGTTCTGAAGTCTCTGCAGATCCTCCATAGAGACCAAAAGATGATGTGAGAACTGCTCAGAATCTTATTGATTGGGAAAGGTGATCCTTTGTGACCCAACAAATAATCTGTCCTGCATTGCCATTGCTCTGTAGACACCTGATTCTAGCTGATTCTGAGGTGTAGCAATATTTTCCATTGCATGGGTACTGTTAACCTTCCTGTGCATCTCTGGGTAACAGTAAGCTGGCATGTGGTTTTAGCTTCTTGGGTCCCTGCCACATTTGTTGAGAAGGTATCATTACCTAGCACATTTCTAAGGTCCACATGGTTGAAGCTGCACACTGAATTTTCATTACTGCAGATGTGAACTATATTTTTGTTACAGTTTTATCCTCCCAAATCTACCTATTAATGGCAGGGAGTAACAATGAAATAGATAATTATTGATTACAAACCATGCATTGTCAGAATTTCCTTTATTCAGGGGTAATATGCCTTCCTAAGGCTACTCACAGCACTATCAAAACATTAAAACATTTAAATCCATCAGTAGGAATAGAAGATAAAACCCAGGAAGTTATCTATAAATAATACAAATATATCATCATGAATAAGATGAGTTTAGATTTAGATATGCAACTGGGTTGATGGAGGCAGATTTCCCCTTTCACCCCTCAAAAATACTATGCAGGGGATGGAGACTTTGCAAAAGAAAACAAGCTGTGGTATGGGAAAAGTGGGAAAATCCTGAAAGTCAAATGGAGCTACCACACCTGAGCAGAGCTTTGGTCACAGAAGGTATTTCTGCCACATTTGTGGGGAGGGTTCTCCCCCAATTTCCCCTCAGCTCTCTGCATCTTCCCTGATACTCTACGTAGCACTTTCAGAAACCTTAGAAAGGCTGTGAGGGGAAGAAGTAATAAGGATCTCCACTTTTGTCATCCCAATTGTTCATGTCCAAATTTGGATCCAAATCAGTGTGTTTATCTGCCCTGGCAAACTTGTATCGATTGGTAGAAGCTATCCATACATGATCTTGAAGCTCTGTGGGACTTTAAAGGATGTTTCTGACACTACCTGTTCATTTACTTCTGACTTTTCGACTCCCTTGCTTCTTTGCCTTCTTGAACCTTACCACTTCTTTTGGAAGACGTGTTAATTTGCTTTTACTAACCTCTGCAAGATACCAAACTCAATTTAGATACACCCACGTCCTTCTCCTGCCCTGGATTCTCAAAGGATACATCCACATCACTCATTTTAAAAGGTTTAATGTGCTCCTGCTTTCATAGGGAATTTGGGAATGAGTATTGTGATATGGCCTCAGCAGATAGCAGCATCTAGCCAACTCTGGCTAATTTCAGAAACTAAGGAGGTCAGCCTTAGTTGGCTGGTTTGTTGGTTATTTATTTGGTTTATATCCCACCTCATTCAGGAGCTCAGGGTGTCATCCATAATGCTCCCTCCACCTATTTTTCCCCACAACAACAACAACAACCTGTTAGTATTGGAAGGGGAGCACCTGGTAACACCAGGTTGTTGCTAGACTGGGAAGCCTGGAAGAAGAAAATGAGTGGGTAACCACTTAGAGATTATTGCCAAGGAAACTGCATGGACTCAGTCTGTAGGCACTGAGCTCACTCAAGGGCATCTTGACCTTTAATCTGCCGTGGCGGGGTTGGGGGCCAGATGGGCTGTTGAGTCTCTAAGTGAGGGTTGGCAACCCTTTCTTAGGAATCTTTTGTAGTAAGTACAGTAATGCAGGTATGCTATCAAGGCATATTTCTTTGTACAACCCATTCTTTCACTCGCCTACTGCTTTTCCTTTCTCTTTTCCTTTTTTTTGTTTTTGTTTTTTTGTTTCCTTTGTTTCCTCCCTGAACTATCCTTTTCCTAGCTTTGAAAACTATTCCTTTTACTGCTCGGACGGGGAAACGCTCATCTCGCCTCTTCTGCGATGCCAGCTTCAATGAAGAGAGCCCACTGTAGCTTGTGGCTTTAGGTAACATTCATCGAGAGCAGGGGCTGAATTTATTTGGGGGCAGGAATATAGCTGTCAGCAATTAGCATGACAGATTAACTCTTTCCAGTAATGAGAAGACTCTCTGACTGTATTTGAAGCCCCTATCCTCATTGAGCCTGGCAGAATGGACTACAAAAACCCTTCTTTTTTTCATCCTCAAATCCTTCCCATCAGGTAGGAAAAGCTCCACTCTGTATGAGCGTCGTGACTGGGTGGAGATTTAAACTTGTCTCTCTGCATTAAACCCATCCTTGCTTTTCATATCTATGAATTTCCCAAGAGCCAAGAATAAGTACCTTTGGGTTGCAGGCTTATTTTTAATTTGTACTGGAATTTTAGTATGTGATGTGAAGATCCAGATAATAGGGTTTCTCTAAGGCAGTGTTTCTCAACCTTGGCAGCTTGAAGATGTGTGGACTTCAACGCCCAGAATTCCCCAGCCAACATAGCTTGAATTCCACACATCTTCAAGCTGCCAAGGTTGAGAAACACTGCTCTAAGGTGTTCTTGCAACTGCCAAGCTTTAGATAGTATTAACATAGCATACCTAGTCTGTCTCAAGCCTGGAATAGATAGGGAATACCGAGAAGCAAGTAAAATAACTTCTTCCCCAAGTACTAAATATGTTCTCCATTATAGAATTTTTTTGTTGGGTGGAGAATATGTGCCTTCAAAAGCCACAACTGAATTTTCTGTTTTCTTTTGTGGCAGGTCTGCGTCCCCAGCCATACCGGCGGGGGGACACCAGTCGGCACAGTGGCAGGAAACGGGCCACTGGGCAGACCCTCCAGGCAACCTCCGAGATCTCACTGTGACAGCCTTGAACGAGAGCAAGCTAAGCCTTGGTTTGCTGGGTGAAGCGAGGACTCGGGTTCAAAGCCAAGAGGCCTGGACCAAAGACTTTCCCCACCAAGAAATAAAGGGACTCAAGCCAGGATGACTATCCCCTCCCCCCCACCCCATTGTAGGCTTTTGCACATCCATTGCCCACCAGATCAGCAACATCACTTCATAACCATCATCTTGGCCACATGTGACTGACCTACCAAGGCAGCAGTGGGCAGGATGGGGAGGCTCAGCTCTCTACTACAGGGACAGCCAATGGTGCTAGAAACCTCCACCACCAAATCAACAAGAAGCATCTTCCACCACCAAGAATTTTTGTGGCTGCCACTGCCTCTAAAAAAGAAAGAAAGTAATCTGGCAAGGGTCCCTGTTCTCCTTTCTATCCAACCTACTCTGGTTTCTTTCTCCAGCTGGAGCATTCAGTCTCCTTTAATTCTTCAGTTCCTCTTCCGCCCTAGAGATGAGGTGGGAGAGGATCGTCTGGCTGTTTTTCCTCAAATGTCACAAAAAATTGTGCTTGTCTAAGTGCTGATGTGTTGTAGGATGATTACTTCCTGGGAAAGTGTAACCTCAGGATCATTTAAGCCATTATAAAGTAGCAAAACAGGGCTAATGAACTAGTAAATCCAAGGTGACTTCAAGCTGTTCCTGAGTGGAGCAAACACCCTGTATACAATAGCATCCTGTTCCAGCACTTTTTAATCTTTTGCAGAGGTGCTGCACTAATTTCAGCATTTTAAAACCCAAACCATATTCAGCATTTCAGGTTTCTGATATGGAATGAGTTGGCTTCAGTGGCCAATGGCCATTTCTTTTACAAAATCTCATGGTTGGCCCTGGCCACGTACAGGCCTGTTGCTTCCTTAGAGCTCTGGATATCTGACAGGGCAAGTCCTTAGTGGGATTGTTGTGAAGAGACATGAGAGAAGAACACAAATCATAGTCTTTTTGTCTTTTTTGTATACTTCCATTCAGTCCAAGTCTGCACCACATCATGACCTACATTTCACACTCCAAATGGCAACTACATGTCAACTGGATTGTAACTGCATGACTACAGTTGCATCAGTGTGATCAGAAACCCATGGAAAATTAAGTTGCTCCTCTCTCTTGGGCAAACAGAATTTCCCATGGTTATATCCTCTTTTACAATATTTAAATGATTTTAGCATTCTTTTCTAGCACAACAGCCAGTCTAGGGAGTTAAATCTGGTCAGTGGAACAGCATCTCAGGATTTAGCAAAAGTATGGCACTTTTTAAAACTACTCATTCTGATGTTGGTGACAATCACACTAGGTATGGGAATTGCTGTTCTTTTCCTCGCCACATGGTGTCACTCTTCTGTGGCTTTTCACTGATCACTTTTTCTCTTCCAGTTTGCAGGCAGCGCCCCTATATTATCTGCCCACCTCCACCCGTCAGATGAAATTCTTAAGAGCTTTACAACGAGAGGCAGAAAAATGTAAAGTGGAGGTGACGGTAATTAGATAACTCAGGAGATCTTTAATATAGATTTAATCCATTGTTGCAATGCATGGTTCCAGTTCTATACTGAGATTTACAACTGTTAGATCATCTTGAAGGATTCCACATCCTAATGCTGTACTTACAAAAGCATATTGCCCCACTTGCTGGAAGCATGGGGAAGGGAGTTAACGCTATTAGGCACATGATAAAATGCAATTACATTTTCTTTTGTAACTCCACAGGTGGCAATGCATCTCACTCCCCTTTCCCAAATCAAGCCCCTGTTTTTATAGATCATAAGAACAGATGATACTCCCTAAAATATGTAGAATGGGAGAGCAACTTGTCCATGCCCTCTTTTTGAGTGGGGGGGAGGTATGGGCTCCAACACCTTCATTTTGTGTAATCTGACTCCACCTGGAGCACTCTATGCTTGCAGGGACACTTATGCAAAGAGCTATGACAAAGTTGCACTTCTGCTCTCCCCCTCAAACTCCAGCATGCAAGCTTCACAGCAATAACCGCCTATTTCAGGAGAGATTGGATATGCATGGACAGCAAATTTGTTCAGTCTCAACTTGGATGAAACAAAACCCTCAAAAGCCTTTAGCAATACTAAAGCCAGGTCCCTACTGTCCATCCCAAACCTGCTGTAGACTAGAAGCTGCACATATACTTAGAAGCCCAGTTTTAGGCTACCATTGCTTTCCCCATAATTTAAGAAAAACTAAAATTATCACAGCAAATGCTCAGAATAGCACAACAGTTCTTTATGCCATGCCCAGGAGCAAGGGGTGAGTGTGGGGAGGGATGATTAGAAAAAGAATTGAATGTGGAACTTAATTGTTTTTTTTTAAATGCCTTGAATCATGTAGATGGATCACAATGCTCTACATGAGTTGTTACTTTGTATACATTATTTTTATATATAGTGTGTGAATTGCATTTAATCCAAAGCAAGTTAACAATGAGAGAATATAATACACGTATTGTAACAATGCAAATTATGTCTTAGTGTTTTGGGAAATACACTGGCCTCAGATTCTTAAGATAGAAGACATTCAAAAATTGCACTTTGATTTTTTAAGTCTGTCAAACAGAAGCCAATACAAACTCCATTAATATCAAGGTGTCCACAGATACATGCCATGATCATAAACTCATGGCAGCTCAGAGCTCTTGCGTTCAAGACGTGGGATAAGCAAAAGCTCTTAGACTACCCAACTAGTGCACTTCAAGCTTATGTTTCCTACAAATGTTCTTCCTGTGTGATGTGGGAGTAATTGCTCTTCATGACTGAAGTTAGTCTTCTCAAACCTCGTACCCTCCAGATAGTTGAGAAAAGCTGTGCAAGTAATGCGAATACGAACATTGTCCAGTACTGTACCAATTTTACCACGAACAGCACAAAACTGCCACTTCATTCATTGTCACCTAGAGTTCACAGACTATTTTTTCCCCAAATATAAGTTGGAATGAAAACCATCAGCTTAGGTGATTTGTAAAAGGTGTTGCAACTTAAGTTCAAATGCAGGTGACTGTATCTGTCCACTTTTTCTCAGCAGCTTTACAGATGTAGTTTGCCCTCCAGGATGTGTTTTCAACATCCCAGTCCAGCCAAGGAAGCAGACACATTTATGTACTACAAGCATATCCAATAGTTTTTAAACCATGATAGATACAGAATCGTTTACCTCTCAGTACTAGATGCTGGGTCGTTAAGTTGATCTAGCTGATTTCTTTCAGAAATCAAATGTTTGAGAGACTGGCCTTTGCTGGGATCCCACAGTTTTGCTTAGATAACTAGCAGACTCTAATCTCAGACCTCCCGACCATTGTGTGGTTAAAATCTATACAGTACTCTAGTTTTATGGCCAGGTTTGTACCACACTAAGCCAAAATGCTCTGAAAGCACATGAACATACCAGCATTTTATTTGATTTATAAACCCATATTTCTTCAGAGACATAAGGTGGCTTTCACAGGATCTCCATTTTATCCCAACAGCAACCCTGTGAGGTAGGCTGGGCTGGCAGCAAATGACTGATTTAAAGACACCACGGAAGTATCCCTTGCTAAGGATGGACTTGAGCTTGGGACTTTAACCTCTACAATACAGTCATTCTCACTACATTTTAAAGCCCTCTTCCTTATTGCATATAGGATTTGAATCAAAGATTGAAACTTACAGTGTTGTCTGGATCCAAAATGGCTACTATTTTGGTTTTACAAAATTCAGTTTTTTGTGCTTTATGACAAGGCCAAGTTACTAAGCCTCAGTGATAATTGTTTCAGATCCAGACAACACAATAAACCTCAAACTGAGTAAAATACAATGTAGAAGGGAACAAAGAAATGCCAGCACTTTATCAGTTGAGATTTTCATTTGGACATGGGTAAACATAGCCTTTCTATTGTTATTACATGCATTTTGGCAAAAGAAAGGATTACTTGTCAAACTCCAGTGCTTCATTCATGAAGCCAAATCTAGAACCCCTCCAAATGATGATTTTCAGCCAGCTGTCCCCCATAATTGGGGAGCATTTTATTTATTATTTCAGACAAATCAATTGTAAGCTATATGAATTGCAATTTAAGAACTGGAAACCGAAGTCTTTCTTTAAAATACAAAAGCTTATCAATGTTAGGCACTGATTTTTTATGACACCCCCCCTACTATTATGGACAGCAGATAGCCCCTGACATGGGCGTGAGCTATTTTGTGGTTTTCCCATAGAAATCACTGTGGGAGACAGCATGCTGGCTTTTGTATGTAGTGAAGACATGATAAACACATCTGCATCAGAATCACAGTAATTCATGCACCTCTTGCAAATGTTTAAACTGCACTTGGTCATCAGTAAACCCAACGTTTTTAGATATCCACCCACCCTAAGCCAAAGTCCCCAAGAAAAGAGCAACAATAGAAAAATATCTCGTCAAATAAACAGACACAACCAAAATATGAGCTAAAGGCACTGGGATTTGATTTAATTTAATTTCCTTGATTGAAAAAGGTGCATTTGGCCTTCCTGCTTTAGAACTTCATTGACAGTTAAAAAGTAATATCAGTCATTCTTAACTTCACAGAATCACAGACAACATATATTGTGCTTGTATGACGTGCGTATCCATAGTTAATAAAATTTACTTTTCTTGACTGAAACATCACACTGAAGTATAAGCTAATACAGTGCAGATCTTCAGAACACGCTAAACTAAATATGGCTAGCAAGTTTGTGGTTCAGTGTGCATCATGTGAGCACAATCAGTGATTTTCATTTGAAACCTATCTGCATTTTCTTACTTTTCCTCTCCCCCCCCCCGTTAAAATATATTTTAAGTAGAAAACGGCCAAATGAACACGTTTAATTGACAGCATTAAGAACCCAGTTTGGAAGCATCTTTAGGCCACTGTGGTTATTACACTGGTTTTGGCAAAAGCAACCCCAATCTAGAGAGCTGTTCCAAATAATTATTTAATTCTGTTCATTTTTTAAAAAAGCTTTGTGGCATTTCCTGAACTGGAGCTAGAGGGTAAAGTATCTGAGATAATAGGTTGTAATGCTGTGGCTTTCTAGCATTCCATCTGTTGGCTTTTTCAAAACATATAATTTCTACATTGAAAAAAATATGCAGACTTCTAAGCTCATTACTGCAAGCAAATTAGTTATTTAACAGTTTGAACACTGAAAACAAGATAGTTCATAAAATCTCCATACAGAAGGCTCCCTGTGAATATTTTAGCCCAAGATCTCCCCCACAACCAAGTAAAAAAATGGCTCAGTTCACATATGAGCCTAAACGCTAGGCCAGAATTGTTTTCATCATTTGTTCAATATGCCATTATGGCTTGACTCTGTCATGAAGCTGCACAGAGTAGACATATACCACACTAAAAAAATGACATACACCGGGGCATCACATGATCTCTGAGCTCAGCTGGTATACTCACTGTCATTACCTCACCACAATGCAAACCTGACAAAATAACATATATCTGTAAACCAAAGAACAAAACAAATGGAGAAAGCACGCATGAAGTAAATGAATGAACCTCCCCACCTCCCAAAATTGTGCTTTTCCATATCTTAAGCTAGATTTCCATTCCCTGATTTGAGTCTGCTACTTCCTTTGCAGGAAACAATATCCTGCAAGTAGGTTAATGGATTAAGAACTGAAGAGGCAAGAAGCCCTGGGTTACAACCACAGATACCTGGGATATCAAGATAAACTTTCAGATTTTTCAAAATGTGAAAGTAGCTTACTCCCTGATGCATACAGATACCTCCCACTGCTAAAATATAACTTTTTTTTTTTCTTTTGACTGAATCAACACTATGGGAAAGCCATTCTTGCAGATCAAGAAAGGTGCTTGGAAGAGTCAAGATTTCCATGGGCTTCTCGCCTAGTTACTGTTATTAGGAAGGAAACTACTCACAGAGAAATTTATTTGTGATTAGGAGCTGTTTCCTCTCCATGAACAGAATGGATAAGCACAACGATTCTACAGGCTGCAGTCCCAAACAACAGTAAATTCAAGTTCCCATTGGCAAAATCGGAGGCTGCTTGCCCTTTTCCAAGCTGTACAACCTCCAGAGAGCCACTTCTACTTTAAAATGGCATGTGTCCAGTTAGGATGTAGGCTGACAGCTGTGGTGGGCTCTGCGGCCAGTCTCTTCCCCCTACCTGAACATTTTTTGAAATTATTCCTTCAGCTCCAATTTGAAGCTAGGAGACAGCAAGGAATGAAATGTGCCCGTCTGTCCGCATATATTAGAATGACTAATCTTTCTCTCTGACATGAACTCTACCAGCTATTGAGAGATTACAATACAAAACGATTCTACAGGCTGCAGTCCCAAACAACAGTAAATTCAAGTTCCCATTGGCAAAATCGGAGGCTGCTTGCCCTTTTCATCTAGCCTTTCATCTAGGCTTGAGCGGATTTTTTAACCAGCAGCCTGCCCCAACTGTTGTGGCAGTTTTCTAAATCCACAAACTCCGTCAGTTCATTACGTTACTGAATTGCAAGAATAATGGGTCCAATTCTGAGTAGCATTTAATTTTGCAAAGAGTTAAATAGGGACCACAACAGCTATCTGAACTTCAGACAACTGAAGTCATATACAGCCCTAAACACGCAATGGCCTATTTGAACTGTCTGTCGTACCAGCTGGGAAGATATTGCCTCTTAGAGCACAGCTATGATCAAATAAGCAGGATATCCAAGCAAGGTTTCAAATGCAGCAGCACACTTTCTAATAGACCAGATTACAAAAACCTCTTGGAGATTCAGAAACAACCTATTATTAAGGCACAGCTTCAAGCTTCTAGAAAATAATCTACCTGTTTAGAATTACAGTAGATTCAGAAGCCAGTGAAAGTAAGATGAGACAAATTTTATTACCCAATAGTCATGTCAAGCCAGAAATGAAGACATTGATTAACTCTGACATGAGATGAGACTTCTACAAGGAGAAAGACTACAGGGTTTACAACCGCCAAAATTGCCAAGTTTTGTCATTTACACATTCCCTCCAGCTGCCTAGCAATTACATCTGAAAAGATGGACTGAAAAGATACTGCCCTCTAGAGTGGCTGTTTGCCTTGGTAAAAAAGTATGCGTGTTTGGAAGAGGAAATAGAACATCTTGAAAATTTATTTGGATATTAGGCACCAAAAATATGGGCTGGTCTGCTGCCCTCCAACCCAAATCTTCTCTTCCTTGGGGAGAGAGGGATAACCATCAGGCAAGATTTTAGATTCCCCCTTTTTTGTCAATTGGGCTTTTCTTCTTCTCTACATAATTTCAAAGTTCAACCAAAGACAATTGTGGACGAATACACTCCAGACACAGCTCAGGAGACACCACATGGGGCTTTGTGAACAAGATATCTTTGCACCTATCAAGAGAAGAGGATGTATATATACCATCTATTTTCTTCCTCTTACACCCCTAGTCTAATGACATTCATTTACTTGACCAGAGCTCTTCACACAAAATAAAGTTTTCCAAAACCTTCAAAAGCGTATTAAAAAAATCAATCTGGTCAAGTAAAAACACGCATGCGTAATAAAAAACAACAACAACACTACCACCAGGACTTGCCTAATCTATCTCAAGTTTAGATTTTTGCTTCAAACTATCCTTGGCATAGATGGAATCTGATCTCTATGGAGTAAGCCCTGGTGCATTCATAAGGCTTACTTCTATGTCATACATAGTAATAGACTGATGTAGTTCTCTCTGATTTAGGATTTTAAAAAATCAAAAGAAAAAATTTAATGCTCACTTGAAAACTACGATCTATTTAATATTGTACAAAAAGATTATTTGTATTCAGACTGGTAGATAAAAGTTATCCTGATAAACATGTAATTTTAACTCAGTAAACTGTACAGTGAAGAAAATGAAGTAATATAGTTGAGTTTCAGTGCAAGTGATAAAGTTACTGCTTCTGCAGAGATACCCTGGTTATGTACTCATTACGCACTGACTATTGTATTTGGAGGTCATACATTCCTCCAAGGAGTTCAAGAACAGTATTCTGTGCTCAGAGTGAAAAAAAGACAGGTTAGGGTGAGAGAAAAAATCATTCCGTCAGGATAGTCCTTGATAGTGTGATTAAGGAAGGAGTTATCTGCCTAAAACACAGCAGCTTATGTTCCTCCAAGTTTTTGGAGTCGATTTTGTTAAATGCAGCCCAACACAGAAGTTCATTCCACAACATCTTCCACAGGCACTGGAGGTGGCAAAGAAGCAGATAAGGAACTTATAATCTCCTTTAGCAGCCAGGTGCCACCAACAACACTCTGCACTGATCTGTTTGCAAAGTCACGGTTGCTTCAAGGGTCACAATATAAGATGTGGAGAGGAAAAAGACCTTATAGCCTCTTCTCTAACTGACCATGTTTGACTCTCCACTTCCAGCCAGAACTGCAATCAGGCGCCAAAGTGCACTGAAGCTCAATGCCTGAATCAGGGATCTCCATATCACAACGAACAGGATCACCTTCTTTTGTGAAGAAGCTGAATGCAGGGGCTGGTATCTAAGAAAGCAAAAAAAAAAAAAAGCAGGTGAAGGAATCCCACTCTCCTACAGGCACATATCACTGGCAATCCTACTTAACACCTGTATAAATCTATCAAATACCCTATGAACCCACCAGCTCCTGTTTTGAGACCCCTTAAAGCACCTTTGGAATTTTGCAAATTTGGGTCCAGGGGTGGATTTAAGGATGAAATAAATATTGTACTGTGTCTAAATATAAGTGCATATCAAAGAAGAAATAGCAAAAATATGAATAAATGGGCATTTTAAACCTTTCAGAGGCATCCCAACCCCTCTCCCAACTGGGCTAATTTCTCCAAATGAGGCAGGGCTAAGGCATCCCAAAGCCTCCAAACAGGTTGGAAACTCTGCCCCGCCCCCTCCAATAATATCTAAGAGAACAAAATTATTACTGTGCACCCTCTGCCATAAGAAAGTTGCTCATCCTGCCAAAGACAAATCTCATTCACCAAAAACTCCATTTTAATACATAGCCCAAAGAAGACAGGCTCTCTAGCAGAACACCTACCTGGCTGCTGATTCCAGTGGCCACATCTCCCACCTTGGCCCCACGGAATTCTCTGATGTGGAGGCTTTCCCCACTAAGCAAGCAAATCTCAATTTTCACCCCTGGGAGGGAAAAAGAGAGAGAGAAAAGAATGTCTTGTTCCAATTTTATTGCAAAGAACCTTGCGGTATATCAATAGCTCTCAATCTACCTTCCACCTGGACTAATGCCCCTTCATCAAACACAGGATGCTCCTCAACCCAGAGAATCCTAGAGCAAGAAGGGGTCATTTAGGCCAGTGTTTCCAACACTGGTGACTCTAAGATGTGTGGACTTCAACTCCCAGCATGCTGACTGGGAAATTCTGGGAGCTGAAGCCCACACATCTTAGGTTACCAAGGTCAGGAAACACAGATTTAGACCATCTGGCCCATAGCCTGCTCAGTGTAAGAATCCAAATGAAAGCCTCAGGATATGATGGAGTCCAAAAGTCACAAAATATATTTTGAGCATCCTACATTTCATTATCTTTTGTCATCACTACCTGCGCTATTTTTTAAATTCAACTGTACATATAGATTTTACAAACATTTTGAAAATAATGCTTCGTACACTTAACCAGATTAATCTTGGAAAGCTCATGGCACACTTAAGCTGTCTTTAAAGCAACTGAAATCTTTGTTGTTTAATTTTATCAAATAAACATTTTCCAGAAACTTAGGTTAACTAGTTACTAGAAAACCCAATAAATAATGGGAAAGAATAATTTTTCTTCCAGGATGCTGTCCTATTATTCTAATTTATAATACAACAATTCAAGTAGTAATTAATTTTGCATTTTAAAAAAATTGCATTTGACAGACACCATGAAAAAACACCATAAAAAAAGATTTGTGGCTATCATCATATAACCAAATCCTACCGTTAACGTAAGTGGGCATATCTGTGTTCCTGCTACGATGCAGCCAGCTGTTCCAGCTGGTGCTCTGCCCATCTGCTTGGCTGTTCCAGGAGTGCACACCAGAACTCATGGTGTCCTTCAGACTGTGGGACAACTTCAATGAGCTCTAAAGGATCAGAAAGGAGGAGCAACTGCATTTTTTCTGCTTGGCTGTCAGATGTATCTTTTTGATGCATCATTTCCTTTCTTCAAACCATACCTCCCACCACACCCAAAACACACACACACAAACTTCCCAAGAAATACTAGGGACTGCAAACCTGTACATGGTCTTCCATTTGGCACCTCATTCCTGTTTCAGTGTGCAAGTGTGTGTTTTATAATGGTTATGGCTAATGGAAGTTCTAACCAACCATTCATGAAATGGATAATTTGTGCAAGTGCCATGTCTCGGTACTGAAATATTCTGAATGGAAAAGATGCACCAGGCAACACTTGCACAGGCAGATGAGAAGTGGGACATACAGGAAGGAATAGCTTGGCTTGTTTGTAAGATTCTGGGGTAAAAGCTCCAGGATTCAGGGGTGATATGAGATGAAAGAAAAAAGTGAACACTCCCTGGGGAGATCTATACCCTTTTAATTGTAGGATACTATTTATTACATTATATTTGAATTCCACACATTGTGACTTATGGCAGGTCTTTACTCATTTTGGCTGAGAGTGAGCGACTGGCCAAAAGTCATCCAGTTGATTCTACAGCTGAGTGAGGATTTGAACCTGGTCTCCCTGTCCCAGTCCAATAATACAATATACTAAACATCACTATACTATACTGATGCAACTTAACTGCAATGAGCAGCGTTTCTAGTTTGCCAGAAAAGCACAAAGCCCTGGGAATGATCTGGAGTGAATGGGAGAGAGACTGGAAAGAGATGCTGAAGACGTTTTCACCATACTTGTCCCTTCTCTGACCCAGGAGACTGGGGTAGGGAAATCGAGTAGTCCCCAGTTTAAGAATGAGTTCCGTTCCCAAGGTCTGTCCTTAAGTCAAATTTGTCTGTAAGCCGGAACAGGATTACTGTACAATATTGTATAAGTAGTATTGTGTAATTAACTTGAATTACTGTATATTTAACTCATGTATTTAACTTGAATTTTGCTACAATAGGCTCCGTTCTTAACTAAGGGTTGTCCATAAACTGGGTGTTCTTAACCTGAGGATTACCTGTATATTAAGACAGTCACTCATTTTATTTATTTCTTCTGCCACTGAGTGAAAGAGGGAATAGATATGCATTTTTCAATAGGGCCTAGATTGGGGCTGCAAAAAAAAAAAAATTAGTTTTCCTTCATAACATAGACAGGACCCAAACTTGAAGCAGGAGCACACAGTAAAACATATGAATGCACAAGCCATTCAAATGTTTTCAGAGTCAGATTGTTCTGAATAAGAATTCTGTACAATCCTCCTTGGAATATTCTGTCCTGGGCAATCTCTTGCAATTCCAAAATAGCAACTGTCCATCCTTATGTACTTACCTTCTCACTAGCATCTGATGGGAGGAAGCTATCCAAGCTGAAGCATGACAGCATTTGTTCCTGTTCCTCCAGTGAAAAGGGCTGTGACAGGCTGTTCAGAATTAGATCTGAGGAAAGGAGAATGGACTAAAATGGAGACACTGAAGACTACACTGTGGACGTTAAAAGGTTCCACCATCCATGATTGCCCTAAACTGATCTGGAATAACCATCACCCCACTTCTGGATTTGTCATTAAAACAGACAAGGACCCCCTCATCTCACCATTAACATTCCAATATGTAATGATTATAGTTCTGAATTTTTTTCTTCCAATAATAAATCAGATCAAGCTCCATGGGTCTGCTCTTTTTTAAACATACATTTTATTTATATTAATACAAGTTTCCCAACTATTATATTTAGCTTTAAACAACTTAGCGTGTATTTTTTTATTCCTAATACTTGAATTTCTCCTTCTGTAGAACACAGCTCATCCCAGTTAAAACCTAAGCATTTTTTACTAGACTTTTACACATCCAACCCTTATTGAAATGTCTAGAGAGAGACAGAGAATCAAATAAGCAAGTCCACAGAAAAAGGAAAAAGGAAAAGGGCAAAACATGTGTGCTCATTATGTATTTGTTTCATGTAATACATTTTCATTTTTTGTATATGCTTTCTACATGCAGATGTTCGTGTTACTTTGTGGTCAGGAGACTGCTCAGTCTACAGACTTCAATATCTAGTTATCTATGTCAGATTTATTCTGTCTTTTTGCATAAATAACCTGCCTGTGGAGGATTTTTTATTTTATTTATTTTACTTAGTTTATTTGTAAATGGAAGATCTTGTAAATGGAAAATCTATAACCCCGAAAAAAAAAATGAATAATGGATACAGCACCTTGCCCACTGGCATATACTGAAAAACTGGGGTAAAATCTGAATCCTCTGAATCCCACTAGAACAAGATTGTTAAAGATGTGATGAGATAACCAACAGGGTCATAGGTGCCTCAAAAATTATTCCGAACAAGTGCTTTGGACCTCATGCAAGCAAGAGCACAGCGCCTTTCTGCTATTTATTAAAGCAGCCACATCAAAACTTAAAAATAAAAGACAGAATGTTTTAATGAATAGCAAAAGGTGCTGTGCCAAAGCAAGGTGTGAAGCGCTTCTTCCAAATCATTTTTGAAACATTGTACTACCTTAATAACAAATCCTATTCACAACTTAAGTAAAGTAAAGGTGAAAATGGATTACCAAGTTTATTGGCTCATCTCAAGTATGTTTTGCTTAAGCTAGTAACCTTGTTTAACCCAGAATCTAACCCAAGATTTTCAAAGGATCTTTTCATTTCCTGATTCTATTATTAATTCTGAATACTCCATAGGCCTACTCTATAAAATGCATACCATCAGAAACTCCTTGCTACTTTCACACTCCAACATGCTCCATTCCCTTCATGGGTGCCTACTGAGTATTTGTGGGTTCCTTTTATTCCGCTACCATTATTACCATATAAATCTTATTCATGCTACATCCAACATATCTCCCCTTTCCTTCTTTTAAACTCACAAGTATTATATGCTTGGTTCTTTCAACTAAATTAATAACAAGCAGGTAGAAATACTACTTATAATATACAATCCTTTCGCTCAGAAAATCTTCTATGGCAAGGACAACTGCACAAAAGACTTGAAAAGAAGAGGGGTCAGGAAAGGAGACGGCAAACAAAGAAGCAGCTTTAAATGACAAGAAGGCTAATGTCCTGATCCATGATTACCAAACTCCAGCTGCTGAAGGTCGTGGTCAATGCTGGGGGTCCTCCATTCTGTCATACTGCCTTTCCTAGTGCTGGGAGGAGTCAGGAAGGAGGGTAGAAGAGAGTCACATGATAGCAGTAATTCCTTGCACATGTCTGGGTGAATTAACTGTTTTCTTGCAGTCAGATCCTGACATGGCAATGGAGGGCTAGGGCTTCTAGACAACAGCTTTGGGCTACCCGGGGGCTCAGGTATGGGCAACAGTAATTCTGGGAGACTAGTTTTCTGCGTCAACTGCAGGCATCTGGGTTCTCTGTATTCACCACTCCAGGAACTCTTCAGGCCTCCCACTACAAACCAAAAGCACAAATAGGAAAATCTATAGTTAAAAAAAAAACAGGAGCATTGGAACTCCTTTTCAGCGACCAGTATGCATTTACTCAAGGCATGATGCCTCCAAAGTTTCAGAAGATAGATTTCAATCTTCTTAGTTCTTCTAAGTCTCCTATAGCAGTCCATTATGAAGATGGAAAATATTTCCTCATGGAATAGTGACTACTCTGAAAGTTTTACTTTCTATAGCAGAATACCATTTTACTGTATTTTCAAACAAAACAAAACCAGAAGGCAACAGTAAACTACTTCTGTCCTCTTGCCAAGAAAAAAGACATAGCACATCCAGATGGAAATCAGGAGTGAGTTTGACATTTCATTTCATTTCATTTCATTTCTATACCACCTGGCTCAGAAAGACTCCTGGAGGCTTACAATAAAAGCATACAGCTTTTTGAAATGCCACCAAAGTTGTTGCCAACAGGAACAACTGGGAAAGCTGTTCCACAGGGTGCAGATCACCACCAAGAGCTAAACCATTCAGGGTTTTTATAAGGTCAAAACCAACTCTTTGATTTGTTCCTGGAAGCCTGCTGATAACCAGTCCTGTGCTCACAATATGGATGTTACTCAGCTATATTGACTCTTATTTGTCAGTTTGAAGGAGACTTATCTTTACCTGCATTATTAGCCAGCTATATATAAGGACTGCTTTCCAGCAGCACTCAATAATACGTTTTCCTTCTATACATATGCAACTTCAGAAGTTTGCACTCATGGATGCTGAGGCAGGAGAGAACAAGAAAGATTCTGCCCATTGCTTTTTAAGGTATCTAAACCAACATGGATGACACACTAAAAAGACATTATGACCAGATGGCACATCTGTTCTTTAAACAATGAAAGGAATGTTTGAACTGTCTGGAAAAGTGGAAAATATTGTTGTAATTAAGCCACGAGCATTATGTGTACTGTCTACTACAGGGTTCCTCAACCTTGGCGG